ATTCTATTTTTTCATTTAAAAATGTTTCTTTTTGTTTTTAACATCAAATCGGTAGGTTCGCGCTTTGCTTCTATAATTATGGATCGAGATAAATAGTATCAGCTTCTACCCTTACCTTCTACCTCTCTGTTGCTTTATACGATGAAGTCACTCTTTAAGGGAATCCTATTTTTTCATTTAAAAATGTTTCTTTTTGTTTTTAACATCAAATCGGTAGGTTCGCGCTTTGTTTCTATAATCATGGATCGAGATAAATAGTATCAGCTTCTACCCTTACCTTCTACCTCTCTGTTGCTTTATACGATGAAGACACTTAGGGAATACTCTTTAAGGGAATTCTATTTTTTCATTTAAAAAATGTTTCTTTTTGTTTTTAACATCAAATCGGTAGGTTCGCGCTTTGCTTCTATAATTATGGATCGAGATAAATAGTATCAGCTTCTACCCTTACCTTCTACCTCTCTGTTGCTTTATACGATGAAGTCACTCTTTAAGGGAATCCTATTTTTTCATTTAAAAATGTTTCTTTTTGTTTTTAACATCAAATCGGTAGGTTCGCGCTTTGTTTCTATAATCATGGATCGAGATAAATAGTATCAGCTTCTACCCTTACCTTCTACCTCTCTGTTGCTTTATACGATGAAGTCACCCTTTAAGGGAATCCTATTTTTTCATTTAAAAAATGTTTCTTTTGTTTTTAACATCAAATCGGTAGGTTCGCGCTTTGTTTCTATAATCATGGATCGAGATAAATAGTTTCAGCTTCTACCCTTACCTTCTACCTCTCTGTTGCTTTATACGATGAAGTCACTCTTTAAGGGAATCCTATTTTTTCATTTAAAAAATGTTTCTTTTTGTTTTTAACATCAAATCGGTAGGTTCGCGCTTTGTTTCTATAATCATGGATCGAGATAAATAGTTTCAGCTTCTACCCCTTCCTCTGTTAATTTATAGGATAAAATCACCATTAAGGGGATCTTAAATTAAGAACGAAAAAATTGTTCTTCTTGTTTTTAACATAAAATCGGCGGATTTGCGCTTGGTTTCTATAATCGTAGAAAAGCATTTATTATTCTCTTCAACCAATAAAAAGAAAAGGATGCGCAAATATGATGTTTTATTGATAAAACAGGACGGCGTTTAGGATCCCCTTAAACACTGAACGACGAAGAGGTTCGTAGAACATTTGTGACATAAAAATTAACAAATGGAGAATTAGGAGAATCAAGTGACGTTCAGTTCAGTGAACCTCAAATATAAGGACTCTCTCTCTCTCTCTCTCTCTCTTAATCAATGAGCCTGGGATCAGGAGCTACGATCTGTAAGATCCTATACGATATATATCGTAGGTCTCTCTAGTCGAGAGATCTATAAGACAAAAGAGAAAGAAATAAAGATGCGGTCTCTCGGACCTTTCGTGAAATGACTCGACACCGGCAGGAAGGGCGGGTGGAAACGAGAAAGGGAGAGAGGGAAGAAGGAGGCAAGAAGAAGAAGAAGCGAACGGAGGCCGTGGAGAGGAACGGGCGGACTCGCGCTTTGGAATGCTTTGAAAGGCCGCGAGCAGCTCTTTCTCTCTCTCTTTCTCACGCACACCCTCTCTCTGTCATTCTTTCTTTCTCTCTCTCTCTCTCTCTTGGCTAGAGAGAGCCGTTCCCTGCGAGGCGAAGAAGGGAGAAAAAGCATGAGAGGAAGAGGGGCTGTCGGGGACGGTCTTGCTTCAATTAATTACCACATTGTCGTCCGGCCGACCGGCGCTGGATGTTCCACCGTACGCGGTAATCTATGGAAGACCCGCGCAGCTCCTCTTGATTTAATCTCCTACGCGCCCTCTCGTCCTCGCGAGTGCTGACTTTCGCGCGGCGCGATTGAACAGGCATCGATTGAACGGGCGTCAGCCTGAATAAAAAAAAATCCTTGAAGCTTCGAAATAAATTAACGGAAGATAATAATCTTCAGTTTTGAATTTTTTGTCTTTACTGTCCGTCATAATTTTCTTTGATGAAGGATGTATATGATCTGGGAGAACCTCTGAGACAATTAGACAGATCAGATAAATCTTAATTGTCAATTTAAATCTAGCGACGTCAAGTAGTGCTCGTTACTTCTGACGCAATCGTCCGGAATACGCGTTCGTCAACAAAGTTCGCGCGCGTCTCCAACAATATTTGCAGTTATGTGCGCCAAGCTTATAAAGCTACCCCGCCTTTCATCGCGAACCGCCTACCAATCAGCAGCCGCACAGGCCGCGGATGACAAGCGAATGTACTTCCATTCGACGACGCCTACCACCGGGTCATCGCTCGTCATCACTTTGTGCATCAAGACGGTGATATACTGGCACCACGAAGCGCGTCGAGTCCGAGTTTATTCGAATAGATAACGATAGCATCTTTCCCACTCTCTCTCTTTCTCTCTTTCGCCGGTATATAGTCGCTCGTCTTTTCCCTCTTCTTCATCGCTTCCTCCTCGCATCGTCCCTCATACCCTTCCGCCGACCGACGCATACATCAGCGTCAGCTTATTTCCGTGCACCGCTGATGCATGCACGTAATTGGCGGGGTGGCGAACGAAACGCTCCGCTCGTCGTCCTCGCCGCCGAGAGGGCAGGAAAAGCACGATTTCGCAGTGATTTGTTGGACATCGATACGCATTCTTGCTCCATCGGGGTACTAATTAAAAAACATATCTACGCGATAAAATCAGTACGGACAGAGTTCTGTCAGAACGATCATGTGAATTTATTTACCCATCAATCGAGATTAATTTATGACAGACGAGAAGTGGTGCAGTTTATTTAATTCTTCAAGTCCAATCTATATAATTTCCGATAAACAAATTACTTTGCAACGTTAACATTTACCTCAAATTTAAAAATTAAACTTTTGCAAAGCAAGCTCGGGTTTCGTCTATCTCTGATGTTTCAAAAGGAGGAATAATGTTTGCTTGAAGAATGCGCGACCGATAGGGTTGAATCGGTGGGACTAATTAAAAAACATCTACGCGATAAAATCAGTACGGACAGAGTTCTGTCAGAACGATCATGTGAATTTATTTACCCATCAATCGAGATTAATTTATGACAGACGAGAAGTGGTGCAGTTTATTTAATTCTTCAAGTCCAATCTATATAATTTCCGATAAAGAAATATTATTGTAACGTTAACATTTACCTCAAATTTTAAAATTAAACTTTTGCAAAGCAAGCTCGGGTTTCTATCTCTGATGTTTCAAAAGGAGGAATAATGTTTGCTTCAAGAATGCGCGACCGATAGGGTTGAATCGGTGGGACTAATTAAAAAACATATCTACGCGATAAAATCAGTACGAACAGTTCTATCAGAACGATCATGTAAATTTATTTACTCATCAATCGAGATTAATTTATGACAGATGAGAGAAGTGTTGCAGTTTATTTAATTCTTCAAGTCCAATCTATATATAATTTCCGATAAAGAAATATTATTGTAACGTTAACATTTACCTCAAATTTTAAAATTAAACTTTTGCAAAGCAAGCTCGGGTTTCGTCTATCTCTGATGTTTCAAAAGAAGGAATAATGTTCGCTTGAAGAATGCGCGACCGATAGGGTTGAATCGGTGGGACGTTGAAGTGTCAAATTGTGAAGATGCCGACAACGTGGGCCACCGTTCTCGTCGTCGACATTCTCTTTATAGCGCACGAGAAAACGCATGGCCTCGGTGTCACGCGGAAAATCCTGGCTATCGCCATTAAAACGCACCGGTATTTACCCGCTCGTATTTCTCTTGTCGTCCCATCATCGCGATCACTGCGTCACGCGAGCAATGCGATCGTCGACCACGTTTCATCTTGGTTCGCACAATTTGCCGTTCGAGAATTTCGTCGATCGACTCTGACAAGATGTTGATGTTGTATAGGATACAGGATGATCGAGGAAGTTGTGCGATGAAGGTTTAGAATATTGATCGTGCGAGTAGACGTGCAGAGAAATTATTATATCATACTGCTATCGTTGAGAAGATCCATTTGTTCTTATAAACAGAAAAATTTTAAATTCCAACAATGTTTGAAATTAAAATAAAACATTTAATTTAAATTTAATTTGAGTTAAAAAATTGTTTAAAGTACCTGGTTTATTTTCAAGCAATCTGTAGATTAAATTAGCCTAAATTCCAGAAGTTTCGGAATTTATAGCGGAATTTTTAACATTTTTCTTCGCACTTTAATCTACCATCTGTACAATTAATTTGTTGATGGTGCAAACTGTATCAATCGACTAATTAAACCGGTTGAATAGTCATCATTAACGATTGGTCAAGTGCTAAGCGGCTAACCGGTTCAGCAAAATCGTTAATCTGATAATCGATAAATAGCACGATTAAGTGTGTTACATATATCATAAGAAAATGTGATCCTTCTTTACAATCAACAATCTCATATTTATTTATTTATTCCATCGTATTTTATTAAAAAGATAAAATTAAGAAATTTAGTATCTATAGTAGATTAAATTTTACAACTACACAAAATTTGAAAATTCAGAAACAAAGCAAAAGAAAGTATAAAAATGTAACAGTGAGATATAAATAGATAAAGATATATATCGCATTTAATAATACTTGTAATTTGAAAGCCCAAAGATATAGTAAAAAATCATGAATTAATGTTCATTGACAAATCGGAATCTTACTAACAAGACCTAATAATTCTCGCGTATAAAATCAAGCAAGTTTCGCGATGTCGTGAAAAATCGAAATAAAGAATAAGATTTGAGGAATCAATACGATAAGAGAGTTGTTGAATGTGTGACGATTACGACACACACACAAGCGCAAGTAATCGCGCCGCGAGAGTCTAAAAATGTTTATTTTCAAGATTAACTAATAATAAATCTTTTGGCACTCTACATCTCGTTAATTCTTACTAATATATTTTATATTCAGAGCCTATTAAAATTTTGTCAATAAGAGACGAGTTACGCACGAAATCGATATATCATGAATCGCGTCTCGTTGCAGCTGAATGTTCATCAAAGGTCATTGGAAGCAGCTGGTATCGAGCTCTGCGGAACCGGCGGAAGCGTCCCTCAAGGTCAGCCGAGTAGCGCGGGTTCCGTAGGGTCCGCGCCGAGTCCCGCATCCCCAAGGCCAACGCCGCAACCGCGGCCACCCCTCGCAACCACCACCTCGCAACCCTCGCGAACGCTGGACGATGACAGATCGACGGACGGAGGTAAGCCGCGGACGAATTAATCGAATCTTGTCAGTTTCAAGCGACGACAAATTTCGTCCATTTTTGACACCCACGTATTTGCATGTCCAGGGGTAGGTGCTGGTAACGCCACCGAGGACTCCGACGACGGCGAGAGCAGGGCGCAATACGTTAACGCGAACTGCGTCGTGTTCACGCATTATCGAGGCGACGCGGCGTCGGAAGTCGAGGAACACTTTCAGAGAGCCCTCGCGCACGACAAGTTGAAGGGTGAGTAAATCAATGTATCTGTGCTATACATATTGAAGAGGAGAGAATTTATTTTCAAAAAATACCTATAAACTGAGAAATGCCTCGGGGGTTCTAAAAGGGTTGAAATTCGCCACGTTTATCTTTTCGATCTCGATGAAGTCGAGACGTGTTTCTGAAGCGGGTAATAAAGTATGCCATTAGTCGGGCGACAAGGCTAACAAGCCTCGTGACAATTGTAACTCGCCTGTCGTACTCGCGCCAAGCTTAAAACGCGGGCGGGGCAAAAGTGGGGAGAAAAGAGCAGAGGGAACATCCCGACCGCAAGAGAGGACGGGATAAGAGGGAGGATTGTCAGCACGCGAGCGGGTTTGGCAAGCGATCGGCAAGCTCGTCTATATCGGTGTCGTTTAAGGCCGCATTTATCCCGGACTACGAGGTGCCGAGGATCAGTTCAGTAGCCTGCTTAGAATTCAAGACAACACGACCTAATTGTTACGCCTCACCACCCTTTGTCCTCTCTTTCTCCAACTTCCCGCGACCGTCCTCGTACGAAAGGTAAATTAAGAGCTTCTGCGTTAGGAAAAGAGGGACGGCGGAGGAGGGCCGAGGAAAGACATTGTGAGAGAAAGGGATAGAGGGATAGAGGGGCGACATCGCGGGAGACAGTTTTAGCCGCGGAATGCCGGGTAACGTACCATACGTACAAGGACTGAAGCAGCTTTAAGCTTAAACGCGCGTACTGCCAAAACAAAGAGGGAAAGAGGAGGAGGAGGCTGGATGGATGGATGGAGAAAGGTTTGCTCTTGGAATTAAAAAGGAATTCGAATAATTGGCTTGTGAAATACGACGGGTTCCAATTTCAAGTAAACGAAAATTGTTTTATCGAAAGATAGTTATTTTTGGGATTGTGGGAATGAACGGGAGAAGAGAAATAGCTAGTAGTTACATTCTCTCTCTCTCTGTGACAATGGAAGAATATTTTACTATTCCCAAAGCGGAGATGACTGAGGTTTATAGACTTGATTGCAATGACTGCAACGCTACATACATTGGACAGACTAAATAGTATATTGTGTATCAAGTGCGGAAAGTTGACAATTGGTCACGAGTGCGGGGGATGGACGCACGAGCCGAAGGCGAGTTGCAATGCTTTGCCCACGGCTTCAGCCGTGGACAATGACTTTGAACGCGGCTTATTCACTCACCGCGTCGCCGCTAGATAGCGGCGTGGGAAATCGGCCGCTTTCCGCACAGAAAACACGCACACAAAGTGAACACAGAGAATTTAAATCCTATATATGATTTGATTATTAAGGCTGCTTAGTTAGTTCGTTTTCTCATATCACGACGTTAAACAAACGTAGGACGAATTTTAGTATGAATTTTATTATGTAGAAGTGTATGAATTTATTTCTTAGCAGGTATGATTTTTATTTAATTAATTTATATACATTGGTTTACGCTATTTATCATTTTTTAAAATAGTGCTTTTTATTAATAATTTATCAACATTTATTATAATTATTACTTTTTGATTGTAGACTTGATAAGGACCTGAACTAAGGTCGAAACGTTGTCTGAATTGTGAATAAATAACTAAAGAATAACATTGCCAGTTGTGGTCGGTTTATGAACACATTTTATATTTTACTATTAATTTCGCTATTTAAGGATTGCAAGGGCGATATCGAGATTTGCAGGTCGTCGAGATTAAAACGTCGGTGTATTTTCTAAAGTTCTAAGGAACACACGGGTACTTATTGGCGAACCAGGCATCGACAACCCTTTCTACCCGTTCCTCCCCCCATTCTCCTTTACGTAGAACGATATCCTTTCTCTCTTTCGATCGTGCCGCGCATCGGCAAAGAATAAAGCCGGCCGCAGACGGTCGACACTCTGTTTCTTTAATTGCGTTAATAAATAAAGGACAGTCGGCGAACCGAGACCAAGGTAGATACTAGTTGGGAAAGAGGAGAGAGGGCTCGCAATCGGTCCCACGAGGCTCCCGACTACAATCCCGTCCCTCATGGATTGAAGTATCATACTCGTGGTGACAACATGGTGACAACGTGAAATTTTTACATTGTTATCTAATTACTCTTTATAAGTGAATTAAATATATGTATGTTAATTTAAACTTGCAAACTTAAACCTTTCATTTTCCAATAATCTTTCCAATAATTAATTCTAGGAAAAATGTGTTTGATATATATTTGACTAGGTATTGCAATTAATCACACGATTATCCCTTACGCGATCAATCAATGCAATTACGACAACAATATTTTTCAGCCGATTGATGAAGAAGCTTTATTAAAATATCCGGCGCCGTTCCCACGAATTTTCGAGGATCTCGCTAAACGGGCAAGCAGAATCCCACGGGATTGGATCGGCGGAAGGCAGAAGGGTACCGCTCGGTTGTTTTACAAGCGGCCACTCTGAAGCCAGAAGCTTGTCGTGTATCCTCCCGCAATCCTCTCGCGCGGTCCTCGCTCACGTTGGATTCCTCTTCTTTATTATTTTTTTTCGTTTTTTTACCCATCCCCAACGCGAGGTCGACCGCACGATTTATACCCTCCAATTCTCTCCCCGCGCGCGCGATTTCATCTTCGAGCTAAGTCACTTCGATTATCTGCTACGAGAGGCATACCGGCTGCTAATTTACTCCGTCCTTACAAACTACGATGATTTAGCCGGCCGGCGGCGTTATTTATTTCCGCTACTTAGAACGAGCGAGGTTTCTCCGGTGGAAGCGCGACTGCTTCTTGAGAACCCGTTTTCCGGGAGAAGATCGTCCTCTCTTATTCCCCTGAGGAAAAGAAACACAACGAGTTATCGGTAGAATTCATCACTCAAGGATCATCGGTTTGTTAGCGGTATTTATGACGCTGCCTGCTCTTTCCTCGGACATCGTTTCCCTTAATTAATGTACGATCGACTTTTAAAAATAAAAAATAAAAATGGCGCGATATATTTGTACAGCTGCGAATAACACGGTCAGATTCCGACGAAGAAGTGTCAAAGTGTTCGAGAAGAATTATAATTACAGAAATATTCGATAAGAGATCTGCAATTATTTTGAATATTTTCTGAAGACGAAGAATGTCCACCTGGACAATAAAAAGAAGCGAGAGCTTTCTCTGTTTTTTTTCCTTTTCTCTGTCTTCCTTTCTTCTTGAAGATATTTTTCGTAAGCATGCGTTTTCTCGCACAGTCCATTAAAAGCGCACGCCGCTCAAACTGTTTTCTTTTTTTATTGCAGAAAATATCTCTCCCATGTCCATGAGGAATTTTCCCCCTTCCTTTTGGAATAGTCAGCATCCCGGTGATGTCTACGAGTACCCGACGGATCCGTGGCATTACCCGCAGTACCATCACAGGTCAGTGTTACCGATCATTGTGTCGCTTTTCTTTATTTTCTCCCTCGTTCTCTCTCTTTATCTATCTACAGCTTTTTCTTCGTTTTACACAAATAGTATAATTTTTTTTCCCGCCCCTTAATAAGCATTCTTTACAATCTTGCGTGAATATCGGCGCCGGGTTTCATTGACGTTTCATTGATCTTAAACGCGCGCATCGAGGAATCGCTGTGCGATTCCAGCATCTAATCGCAAGACGTAAAACCGAGCTGAAGATTTTTCTAGTGAGCTCGCCATTAAATGCTACGCGGCTCGGACATTAATTAGTGAGATGAGTGATACATATTTTTTAAGTATTATGTTCACTCGGATTCATTTTTTTTTTTTTTTACAATTGCAAATTGATCCGTTTTTTATGGGTTAAATTCTCATATCTACAATATTGAATATATTTAGTATATGTGATCTACATATGAATATTTTCTTAAGAAATAAATGTCCATAGAGGTTAAAAAATTGTTTAAATACGATACGAAAAGAAAGTTACACGTGGGAAAGAGGAGCGGTGAGGGTAAAATTAAATGAGAAAAAAAAAGAAGTCGCCAATATCTTTCGCCCTCTTCCTACGGCGACGGTGACAGACTCGTAATTTATACGAATGGTTGTGGTCGGATCAGTGTTAAAGATCTCGGCGTTACCTGCTCCCGACGGTTTTCAGTATTTTTCACATGCTCGTGCTCTTTCTTTTCGCTTTTAACTCGCGTCGCTATCCTTCTTCTTCGTCGCGTTCTCTTTTTCTCTTTTTCTCCACCTTTTATCTTACCTCTTTAGAATGTCTCTCATCCAAAATGTTCCATTAACCTTTTTCATTTCGCACTTTTTTATATATTGTACATACGCGACTTTACACAAGCATCTTGAAGTAAGATTCACATCGGTTTACTGATGCCGTATATATTAATTTGTGCCTCATTGATTTCTAAATACCAATCATACTGCAATTAGAGGCAACCATATTGGCACGTGTGGTATGCGAATCTATTTTTACATCAGTTTAATGCAACGCATCCCAATTCTGTACGCCAAAAAAAACATCGCAGACTACCCTATATATACGTCATCGGGGGTTAATTTTAATGATCTTTGACCTGAAACTTTGCTCCATTTTTATGTCATCATCCCATTTCGGAGGTCGCGAATTTTTCCGCATTTATTCCCTCTTTTTTTCAGAGCTGTGCACGAATACCACCATCACAACATGGCGGCGAGTTACGGAGGCCTTTTGCTCGGTGGTGCACGCGGCCTCGGCCACCACACGTCTCACCACGCGGCGCATCACGCGCACGCTGCAGCGTCCTACAAGGAGTGGACGTCGACGACGCCGTCGCAGTCCCTCGTCGACGCTTCCTCGGCGCCGCCCTATCCTCACGGCCACTACGCACCCCTCTCCGGTAAGTAAGTAGACTTTTGGTTTCACCAAACGGCGAATGGATTCCAAGAGCAACCCTCCGTTCTATAAGAGCATGTCTATTTACGATTCGTTCTAAATGTAATTGTCTATTTAAATAAATGGCAGTCTCTTTTTCGTCGTTGGAGAAACTGATCGCGAAATCGTCGCGCTTGCTTTTAGCACAATAAGAATGTGGAGCGTTCGAAAAGCTCCTCGTTTAATTAAAATAAAATTTCGAATTCTTTTAATACTAATTTCACGATCAAATAATAAAAAAGTAAAAGCCTTTGTCGAGGTGGCCATCGAACTTAATCAATTAAATCTTGACGCAAATGTGATCTTAATTGAACCAAACGAATAAACACAGACAATATCATTCGTAATTTTTTATCATGATTATTTGAAATTAAATTATTTAAGAAAAATTGTCAAATTAAGTACTCATTCTTGGAAAATAGGTGGTGGCTGATTTATTCGCAATTTATCATAAATCCTCATTATTTCATCTGATATACTCGCGACTACAAATCGTCGGCATATCGACGGTGCATCAAAGCATCCTATCATGTCCTGACTGTGTCGAACGACAGCAGGACGAGCTTTACTCGGAGCTACCAACGGAATGGTACGCAGGTAGAGCAAGAAAGATCGGTCGGTCCTTTAGATGCTCGCAATTAATAAGAGCTTAATGGGAGCCGCGATCCATACGGCGTCCACCTTCGGCTCGATGTTCACCCACCGAAATCGTCCGCAGGACAAAAAGCCGCGGACGAGACTGCAAAACATCTCGCTCCTGTCGCCGCCAGGATCCCGCCGCTCGCATCCTCGTTCCTTGAACGCGCCGCTCCTCTGTCGGTGAATTATGCGAGGCAGAAAAATAGCGTTAAATTATGCGGCATAGAAAAATGGCATTTCTCTTCATCGCTGATCTCATTTTTTGCGAGGAAAAATCGCCAACATATTCGTAGCCGAAACAAATCTAATATATTATTAAAATATTTCGTCTCTTTCGCATATAGTTATGTATGCGAATTGTTTCGAAAAAAAAAAAAAAAAAACAGATTTAAGTATAATATATTGTATAATTTCAACATGACTCGGGAAGAAATATTTTATTATTTATATATTTGATTTTTTGTTATTTTAGCGAATTGCATTAGATAATTTATTTCTTGGTAAAAGTGACAGAATCGAGTTTTATTTTCATACATAGGATGCAGTAAACCGTGAAAAACCACACCCATGATTATAGAGATCGCTCTTCTCAATATACCTGTTTCTCATCTTGACGCACAATAGTTTGCATATAGTTTGGAATTTTCTGCGGATACATCGATATGTTGGAATTTTCGTTATTTTTATTTTTATGACTTTATTCCTGCATCTGACCATCTCTCTTCTCTTCAACCTTGTACTTCCAAAGAGGATTCTCGTATCTTTTGTTTACTACTTTAATTAATTTTCTCTCTCTGCACATTCCTTGATACATAATTTCCTCGTGAATTGTGGATTTCTCGAATTTCTTGGTTCAATTTTATATTGCTTGGTTTTTTATTGTACAACGAAATCTGAAAGTAATTTCTCTACTTTCGCAAAACTGCTTAGATCCTCCGAATCCCATATAACTTCAACGCGGCTGCCAAGATCCAAGACTATCTGAATTTCTCCTTAGACGAAAGACATGGCTGCCAAGCACGGAAACAGTGACATCCATCCCGAGTAGGGAGAGGAGGTCTAGTATCGATTTTGTACCCTCACTTTGCTATACGCCGAGACCAAGCATCGCGCCGCAAAATGAATCCCAACCCTCCACCTACCCTCTTACTATACCCTCTCATTCGAGTGATGGAAAGTCTAATGGGATAAAACTAAAAGTCATAAATATTATGCTTTGTATGTTTAAGAAAGAAATATATACAACGCAAGGAATTTAGAAGAAAACCAGCAGAAGTACATTGCATAAGGAATAATCTTACTATCTAATAAATAAAATATAAGTCTCCAAATTAAGTTTTGTGTAACGTAATTAAATGCAAGAAAACTTTTGAATTATGGATTTTTAAATTTAACAAATTTAAAAAATATAACTTTTGTAAAGAAAAGTGTTTAAGCATCATTAATTTGCAAAAACAAATACTGATTCGCAACTGTTAACAACTTAACAGAAATTAGCGTCTCCTCGTAGGATCGAGGGTCTCGAAAGATAATAGAGGGTGAAACTAAGGTCGAGTTGAAACCACGGGGGTGAGTTGCAAAGTGCGCGCAAAGTCGTCAAAATGCCTTTAAATTTAAGTGCTAGTATTACGGAGCTTCAAACCGATTAGGTTCGCTGCCCGCACTATGGCCGCCGAGCTCGGTAATGATATAATTGCGCGAAATTAACTCGAATCGCATAAATCGGCTGCCGTTTACGCGGCGATTAAGAGAAATAAATCGCAATTACCGGATGGCATGTCCGCGTCTTAACATGGCGAGATGTCCGTCATGCTGCTTTTATTTCGCGGTCTGTCGCTGCTGCTTCGCCTCGTGAGAGAAGTCGTCACGTTAGCTTCAATATTGGAGAACAGTTCGACATTGTCGAGTGGTGGAGTGAATTACTCGAATTGTTAGAGAACGATTCGAGTCTAATTTTGAAAATTGCGCTAAAATAAATCACGATATATCCATTTATTTCAAGATTTTTTAATTCAAACTTTATTGTTACTCATTTTCTTTCTCGATAAAGTTAATTATATATATTCGAGCTATTATTCAACACATTGTTGCTCTAATTTAAGTGATTAATTTTAATGATGATTATCTTTTGTATCGAATCTAAAAAGAAATTGAAAGAATTCAAGCATTGCATTTCTCGATAAAATTTAGAATGCAGTTGGAGAACATGAAGAAATAACATACTAAAACAACTATGTGTTAAAACATCTTCTATGAAGTGACCAGTTACCATTAATTTACTTTCAGAGAGTAGATTGACAAATTCGATATGACGCGCAGAATTACTTGTCCTGTCACGTGTGCACAACTTTGATTTACAATTTGATTTTAAATAAATTAGTTCAACTTATCTGAAAGATTAATTGCATTTAATATTAAAAAAGTGCAATGTGCTATAAAGTTGATTAATTTCAAAATATATGATGAAGAATGAATTATTATGCAATACAGACGCAAGTACGATTCTAATCTGTGTAGTCTGGTTTTAGATAAACAAGCTCAACATTCTTACTGTTCTGATAAATGAACTGTGTTCGGAATGCAGCGAACCAGGGGCAGGATCTAAAGATGCTGTGCTTTAAACCATTTAGCAACTAAGATTCTAAGGTATGCAAGTTCAAAGAATGTTATGGATTTAGCGCTTATCAAATCGGAAACTGTACAATCTGGAGTACAGTCAAGCGGTTTTCTATTAAGCTAGAAAATCTGATTAATTTAAATAGTTGTATTCAAAAAGAGAAGATAACAAAATAAAGAATGACGATTTTTAAGTGCAATAGGTAAGAAATTCATGATCGGAGAAAAATTAAGAAATTTAGGGTCTTTACACGAAAATTTAGAATCGAGAAAAATAATGTCAGATCCAATTTAGGGTTTAAGAGTAATGAGTATCTTTTCGCGTCTAGGATGACATTCTTCGTAGAACATCTCGCGCGATGTAATCCGTCGGGGTGTTCCGATCATTCGTACGCTTTCTGGCACGCGCCTCGAAAATGGCGTCGTACAATGACGTCACGTAATTCACCGTTGCACGAGAAGAAGGGAAAAGAGAGACCAGACTCAGGCCAGAGTCGGGGATGACCATCCTCGATTGGTCAGCCTGCGAACGGAGGGAGTGGTCGAGCAGTTGCTGGTTCTATCGATCTCTCAACTCGACTCTGCTTTGCTACGAACGAAGCGAACCAGACAGGTCGCCGCATTGGCGAACGCGAGAAATTCATGATGTCCCTTTCCTTTTTTATCCGGTTTAATCCCTTTTTTTCCTAATCACCTAATCCCCTAAGATTCTCTAATCTAGGATTTTTTTGCAAAGTATCGATTACACTTTATTCTTCATCTAGGTCTCTAAGTTTTATAGAGAGATGTTTGCTCTATGAATTCTTCAGTTTTTAAATATTAGCTTTGTGCTTTAAAATATAAAAAAAAATGTTAAATTTATATTATGTTTTAATTAAAAATGTTCAAATCTCCAGGAGTCTTGACTTATCGATCTTTTGCGGTCGATATCTTCTTGTTCTTTGAATTCTTTTCGTCTCTCGTTACTCGGAATTTAAGACGAAAACGATCACTTTTCTCACCGCGCTCGACGTACAGAAACAAGGGCATCGAAATTAAATTAAATCGAACACCCTCGCTCTGCAAAAAGTGAGGAGTCGACCCTTGCTATCCCTTCACCGGCGGGAGATGAGCGCACACAGGGCGAGTATTGTGATGACCCTTATCAATGGGGGCGGAAGGGTCAGACCCCTCGCCGTCTCTGGAATCCAATATACTTGAATTCGTTGTAAGCCCGGTCGAGCGGCGTCCCTCGCGAACTCGTATGCATCGATGAGCGACTATTAATTACAAATTAAACTTCCCAAATCTCTTCGGGATCATCGACGTGTGTCGGATGCAATATTGCACATGTCAAGTATAATCGTCTTCTTTCCAAATCGTTCTTAGATGGAAACGAAAACCTGCTTATAAAAGTAAAACATGTGTTTAACAATCCTTAAATATAAAACAAATGTCATTTTTCTTATTTTGACAGATAGAAGAAAGTATTGTATACGAACCGATCTGTGAAACTCTTAAAAGCGGTCTTGATTGATTATCTGAAGCACCGTAAATCAAATAAGCAATTCTTTAAATTTTGATATCAACTTTGTTGTATGCAATTGATTTTCTACTTGCTAAGCATGGCTAAAATCGACGATCACGACTTGTCATTAAATTCATCTCGAAATTAGACAGTTCTCACGTGACTCTTCTGTCGCAAACATCGGAGAGGGTGACTTCAGGATAATATGGCAAACAGGGCAATATTGTTCGGGTTATTCGACACACCGTATACCAAACCACCCCTTGCGTCGCCATTTTCTCTGTGTCGTATCGGCTTCGCATGTGCGTGGTGAAAACACACATATACGCGGTTCGCATAAATCGTCCTAGCGGGTGACACTTATGGCGTATTATGCTCGGCATTTGCGATATCGCAGGACGCATTGAATTAGGACATTCTCCCATGAGGATTACACGCTGGCCTTTCCGCTTAGGATTTTCGTGAAGGATTAACGTCATAGGGTTGACCGCACTGAATTATCGCTGTTTTTGATGAGATTCCTTCATTAATAGAATCAAGGATTTTGACATGTCTTTCCTCCTTTTATAGCATTTTATTAATAATTATTTAAATATATATATATTACATTTTATATTTTAATATTGTGTAACAAGATAGTAACTATTTATATGTCGTTAATTAATTTTATTTTCTTTTATAATTGACTTACATAAACTTTAAGGTAACATTTGGCGAAGAAATCGCACATACGGCGTTTTATCATATTCTTAAGAAACGTAGAATAGGATGTTTCCATTTGAAACCTCAAACGCACACACAAATCAACAGAATACAAAGTTACGGACAGACGCACCTTTATGAATGTTCCAACATTCAATATCGTGATATCAAAGAGCAGTGCGAGATCCTGCGCGAAGGAATTCTCTTTAGTCTTACCGACAAAGAAGTGAGGCGTACAAACTCCAAGGAAACCGGCGAAACGAAATGTTTTGTCGGAAATTGCCAAGAATTTCTTCGCTCTATCTTACTAAAAATTTAATCTTGGAAAATAACATTTTAGATCAATTAACGATGCAGAAAACAATAATTTATAATTTACATGGAAAAATCATATACACATGCACAATTTAGTGGTATCAAAAATGACACAATATATATATGTATGTATGACCTGCATAAAAAAGACTATTATAATTAAATTCAGACTCAAATTTTGTAGTCTTTAAAAAATTCTATATTTTTTTAACAATATTTTAAAATTTAGATTAGAATTTCGAAATTATAAGTCTTCGATTCAATTTCAAATAATAGCTAATAATTCCGCTATATTCCATTTGATGTAATTTGTCGCTATATATTTGTATATAATAGAGAATCAATCTTGATCGCGCGGTAATTCTCGAAATATATTTTTCCTTTCCATCCAATGCCTTTTTTCGATAATTTTCCAACTCAGTGATTCTCGATCAAATAATACTTTGCGTTTCATACAACGATTACTCATACGATCGTGTCTTTTGTACTCACATCCCATGCACGTATGTCGCACGCCAATACTATAGACGACACACCATAGGTCGCACACTGACTTTGAAGCAGGTAGATACGGTCCACGTGCCGACACGTGCGTATCGATGGATACAAACTCAATATCTTGTATCATGCACGTGCTGGCAATTCATGATGTCGAAACATCGATACGTTGCGCGATAATCGAAGGTGGAGCTTGGTTGATCCGATCAAGAAATATTAAAAAAGAAATTGAGAAAATATCTGCATAGCTTTAATACCTTTGATCTCATTGTATTAACTTAATTCAACGATAACATTTTTTTATTATACACATTAATTTTGAAAAAAGATATATTAATCTTTAATATTCTTTGAAGTAATTGATATAATTTTTTGGTTCTTTTAAAGAATTATGAATCTGTTCTCTGAAGCAATGATAAGAAGTGTTTCACATTTATATCGTGAAACTGTTGAACGATTATACAGCATCCTCTTATTCGAACTATATAAGGATGCTGCATCGGCGACGATGATCTGTCGGTTCAATCTTCGGTATATCGAGATAAGAGATAAATTCGGTCGCAAGAGACATGAGATCTTAACTGACCGGTCTCGTGACATCGGGCCTCATCTATCTATCCGTTCGTTCGTCCATCCGTTTGTACGTCCGTGTTGCTCAGCGGGTGCCATCACCAGTTCTGCACCTTCGCATCCGTCATAACGTTGTCTCTCCTTTTATTACTGCCGATAAATAATTTCAAGCAACGACAAGAGACGCCTTTCAAATCAGAAAGCAGCTTCAAACAGCTGATTGCTTGTATAACGTTTAGCAATCTCTCACTGGAATGCCGGAAGCCTTTAATATGAGATCGATGTTTTATTTGGTATAATGTTGCTCTTGAACAAATATTTTACAGAATATTTTAGCAGCTGATTTGAAATCTTAGAAAAAATATAAAGAAGTATTTTCTTTTTTTCCAAGTATATAACAAAATTTAAATTTCAATTATTATACGAAAAGCTCAGAAACATTAAGAGATTAAATAAAAATTTATTTAATGACATCTCTCTCTCTTTTTTTATGTTACAGGACTCGAGTCTCAAGTTCAGGATTCCAAGGACCTTTACTGGTTCTAGGATCGAGCGTTGGACAGGAGGCATGCCGTATCCTTAAATTCAGAGAACGACTGAACGATTGTGTTTCGATTAATGAGAAAATTTAATGATTAGATCGTATAAAATACAAACGTAAAAGGAACAAGGACATTGTTGAGCAAAAATGACGATTGAACGTTCGTCGTTGTCGCTTGTTCATCGTTGTACATAATGTTACCTACGTCTTTTAAGGATCTACTATTAACGTAAAGAGGATAGTATTAGACGAATTATTTGCGCGCACTATTACCTTTATAGTGACTGCTGTCTGAAATGTCTGTCTAAGGAGAGGTTGGCTGATGGCTTATCTCACGATGAGAATGTGACCGAGAAGCGTCTTCAGCTGGTACAATAGTGTAGCGCGATCTAGACCGTCAGAACACACCTAAATTTCCCAAATAATTATGTAATAACATGTCTTCGATTTATGCCACAAGACATTATATTTGAATTTTTTACTTCATTAAGGATACGATGGTTAAATGAGAATAGCATTCGACAGTTTATATTTATTCAAAACAAGGTAAGAATTTAAAAAACTAGAAGAGAAATAAACAATAGAGAGAAAGGGAAAAAATGCTTCCAAAATTCAAATCGAGAGACATTACATACAAGATTAGCAAATAATTATTTGGCAAATTTAGCTGCCGATTTAAGTGAAGTATTTATTGACCAATGATCTTGCCATATATATAAATATATTATTATTAATTATTATTATTATTAATGTATCATAAACAATGGACGCTGCAGATATAAAATCTTCTCAAAAGAGTTAGCGAATTAAAATAGTTATTATCCGACAAATCAACTATTATTCTTTGCACCCTAATTGCACCCTACGTACATCTTATCTCTTCATCTTTCAAATCTTTCACACCCGCTGTTTCATCGTTTAGTATCTGTCCGGTATAATCACTACCGTATTACTTACATTAAGCACATCGTATCCATTTCATGTTATCGCCTGCCTAATTGTTAAATAAATAATTCACATATCACATCATTTGCTTCTTTTTCACTTACCGTCATTTTTTTCGTTTTTTTTTTTCAAAATAACGAAAACCAATTTTTCGAACTTTTTTCTATCTTCAGATTTTTATGTCTTCCATTTTCTTATATTTTTTAATTACTTTGGTAAATTAATATCGCGTCAATAAAAGTACATTTGTCGTTCTTCTGATGATTAGAAATATTCTTTAAGGTTTATAATTTATTTTTTATTAATTGTAATCATCTGGTTTCTAAAAGCAATTTTCCGCCGAGGAAAATAGGATTTCATGTTTTTCGCGGTTCGTTACGCTCACCCTGGTTAATTACACATCCTTAAATTTAGCGATGCTCCAGCAATGGAAAGTTAATCGAGCACGTAATAAGAACAGGAAGTTTAATTTGTTCTCTGTCCAATGGGTTTCTATCTCGTCTCTTGAAAAATGCAGGTAAGCGAATTATTGCAAATTGTAACATTAAGTATACTATTAAAATTTCGGTGCTAAAATGGTAAATTTTTTTATTTGCACTGCGTTTCTTATAAAGAAAATTATTTTCGATTAACAAAGAGAATACACTAAGAGACATTTTGTCTGCTCGAGGTTCTAGGAGAAAACTCGATGTTCTACATGCAGCTTAATAACTCGAGGATATTAATTTAAGCCCGTAACACGTGGGCTTGCGCATTTGTTTTCCCGACGTAGGCGGAAGTAACGCTAACGAGATGAGAAAACGAGCAATTAACTTCGTCACTTCGGACGAGGAGGAAACGCGCAGATGATCGACGCGCGCGTTATCACGTGTAAAGCATATGCTGTTCTTAGTCCGTGTCTGCTTCATGATAAATTGTGTGTATATGTATGTCTAAAGCCTTTAATAAATTATCACTACTATTTCGAGTTTTTATCGGGCATTATTGAATTTAGCGACATTAAATCAAAAGAAGAATCTGTAAGGTTTTGCTTGACAAGAAACCAGTCTTAATTTCATCCGACAAAAAATAAAAGTTCTTGTTTTTTTAACATGTAAAATACAAGATTAAATTTGTTTTTATCAATAATTCAAAACTTTATAATTTTAACATTGCGACATATTAAATATTGTATTTTGAAATTGTTTAGTGCACAAATAAGTATATAATAGTATTTTGCAAGGAATAATTCGAGTATTTTAATTGTGTCATTATAGCAGCATGATGTCAACTTATGCGCTATAAATGTTCTGTAAAGGATCGCGTTTTGTCCGGCAATTTAATATCGTCGACTTTAGTCGGGACATCGCCCCGGCAGCATACATAAATCAGTCTGTTACGTTTCTTTTACCATTTCGTATGATCCCCGTGTTTTCTTACGCAATCGTGCATATGCCGCGGCTAGACGCGGAAAAACTACCGACAGGAAACCACGTGAGATCCATGTGAAGAACGGCGAAATGCCGAGCTTCCTGGTTTCCATACATTGTCGTTTCTAGATATATTGCTCAAATAATTTCATTTTTTCTCTTCGTGTGGTAACAAAGTTATTGTACATCAATTATATCGACTTATATAAAATATAACATTTATAAAATGTTATTAATATAAAATAATAACATTTTTATTTTTTACAAAAATAGGTAACGGTTGTGCATATAAAATAGTTAATTTTTTATCGATGATAATATATATTATCTTATTTTTAATTCTTTCATTTTACTTATCAGATTAATGAAATGGAATCAAAACTGACTTAATAAAAATCTATATCGTTAAACAAGAATGCGATTAATAATAGTTCTATTATCTTTTTGTGTGCAGGATTTAATGTGACGCACTTAAATTCCGAGACGTAACTTTCGAAATACATTTAAGATTCGCTGAATGTCAAATAACTTTGCGTTTATCGAAGAAATATCTTTTGTAATGTGTCAGTTTTGTCGAGTTTGTTTTGCTTTAGTGGTAATTAAGCGTTTCGTAATGACGAGGGACGTTGCCTCGTTGTTGCCTCGTAATCTCCGATCGGATTCTGATTTCAATAAACGGTAGCCGCCACTAAATCTAGCATATAATAAAATAAATCCTCGCGTAAATGGCAACAACTAGCAAAGAAAGGTTCTAGTCTCGATTCTCGGATAAGAAGAAAACGACCGATATACAAGGTGTCTATTCTCTTCACATAATAATTAGAATGGATTTTCTATTAGCAGAAATTTATAATGAAAGAATTAATTATAAATAATGAAATTATATATTTCACGCTAATTGCAATATAACTTAAATTAGTATAAATAAGTTTTAAAATATTTAGTATGGATGAGAAAAGATAATAGTAGAAACACCGTGTATATATACAGAAGACGAGAAGGCTGAAGGAAGATGGAGAGAGAAAGGGAGAATAGAAGCGAGATTTATTGCCAGACTCTAGAATATATCATGCTGTTGTAATTACCGAACTGGCTTTTGTTTGGTCGATAGTTTATTCACTGTTCCTATTATGCTCGCGATAGGATCGCATATGCAAATTTATTAACGCAATTGAATTTTTTTTTACGACGTTAAAAATCGAAATCAAGAAGTCGGAATATTAAAAAATAATGTCCACCAATTGTTTTCATTTTTAAAAAGTTTAACTATTCTCTATATCAAAGAAATTACATTTTGAAAAAAATGTCACACACAAAGTATAAAGATAAAATTTATTAAATTTTCATAAAATTCTTGTTTAGTTTTGATAGAAAAACAAATTTTAAAGCATCAAAACAGGTGCACGGTAAATAATCAAATACTCTTGTGCGAATCACCCCTCAAACTTCGCGGTAATTAAATACCAAATACATGTGAGCTCCCCTCTTTATTGTAACTCACCGGGATAATATAAGGGGGTCGAATCGTGGATATTGCACCAGCGCAATAAATGGTTCGACCGTGAATATGAATATTAATTTTTCTTTGAATTTGTCGACCATTTGTCAAAGTCCAAATTACCATCTGTATAAATCAAGCAATTTTTATGGAATTAAAAAACCTACGTTTCCAATCTTTTGATCAATTAATTTAATTATGGAAATAGTTTATTACAATATAATTTTGTGTGTCTTATATCTTGATATTTTTGTTTAATATTATTACATTTTTTTAACAAATATTTTCGACCGATCTGCATCGAACAAGAGTTTGCCATGTCCAGATTAAAGATGAAGAAATAAAAAAATATCAGAAGCTTCTCTCCTATAGATTTACTTAAATTCCTATTCAAAGTCCAAATTACCATCTGCATAAATCAAGCAATTTTTATGGAATTAAAAACCGTTTCCAATCTTTTGATCAATTAATTTAATTATGCAAATAGTTTTTTATAATATAATTCTATGGCTCTTATATCTTGATACTTTTGTTTGATCTTATTAAATTTTTTTAACAAATATTTTCAACCAATCTGCATCGAACAGGAGTTTGCCATGTTCAGATTAAAGATGAAGAAATAAAAAAATATCAGAAGCTTCTCTCCTCTAGATTTACTTAAATTCCTATTTTACCCATAAAATTACCATCGGCCTCGATGTACCTTCGTCTTCACTCTGGACCCCACATGATATCAGCGTCTTCTCCCACGAGGTAGATTTATGATCGAGAAAATATAAAACCTCTTCTTCCTTCTTTACCTCGTCCCTTTAGGAATCCCCTATTACATAAACGAGTCGCATGTTCTCTCGTACATAGAACAGGAACATTCGGCTATCTCTCGTGGCTGACATAGGCGCAGATAAACGTATAGATATAATCGGCCACGCTGACAGAAGTCTCTCCCTCCTTCTCGCGCAAGAGGCTACCTGCCGCGCGGGATGTCTCTTCAAGCATAGATCGTAGACGATCGTGGTGGATCTTCGTATATAGTCGGCCTGGATCATCGGGGAATTAGGGAGCATGATTCGAGCATTCCACGGCATCGCGATCCTCGAATTGAGGAATGCAGCCGGTCAACTACGATCGGCAGGATATCTTTTCCAAGGACGGAAGTCCGGAAGCCACTGGTAATATCCGTTAAGCTCATTTGCTCTGCGGGTTTTACGAAAGCGTATGTACGTACACATTTCGTAAAATACAATAGTACAAGTTAGAAGTGTAGAATATAGAAGTAATACCTTCTCTATTAATAACGTTTACGTATAATTAACAGATATTTATGATACATCATTTAGCCATAATATTTATGACCCTAAAGTTCGTAATTTTATCACGCAGAAAAGATTTATTTATAATTTATCATTTTGTTAATATTATTTAATTTTGATTGTAGTCCGCTCAATGTGTTTCCTTAATAATTGTCAGAAGATTAAAATCAATCGGACATCTGCAAAACTAGCTTTTGTAATTAATTATATATACGTGTATATAAAATTATAAATATATTACATTTTATATAATTATTATTTGTACATAAAATGATATTTGTTATTATTTACTGCGTCATTGAGATGTCGATGAGATGAGAAGTAAGAGGTGTCTATCTGAGTGAGTCAAAAGGGTTGTCCTTCCTCTTTCTCTCGTCGTCGTGCGCCAAAGAGCCGGCAAGCAGCTGCGGAATGTCTTCATTAAAATACTCGGGCTCATCATTTATGCAGAGCAAAAACGCAACGAGGTGAGCGTCTTGCGAACGGATCCGACATCAACGAGATTCGCACTCTGTCCTATATTCGCGGGCGTCCTTCGATTCCATCTTACAATTAGATCGTTCTAACGATACAGAGCCTTTCGTTCTCATTTATCGAGCAACGTAGAATAATTTTTTGAGATTTGCTTAAATTCTTCAAGCTTTTCATCATTGTATTTTCTCTTATCAAAAATTGAATTAAATTCTATTGTTTCTGTAACTCTTTATATATAATTATACCATTAAATTTAAATTTTAATGTCTTGTAATTAATGATATTTTAAATGTTAAAGGTTAAGGAAGCCAATTAATTAATTTGTATATTAATTTTCTATATATCAGAGAAATAAGAGGACAACGTTCGAGGATAA